TGTGTCTGTGTGTGTGTGTAACACACCCGTGTGTCTGTGTGTGTCTGTCTGTGTGTAACACTGTGCGTCTGTGTGTGTGTACACACCTGTGTGGAGGCGCACGGCAATGTCCAGCAGGTACAGCGCATCACTGAGCCCGTCCAGGCCCCGCCACAGCCCCACATGTGCCTCCTGCACCTCGGGGAAGCAGCACCTGGGGTGCAGGTGGCATCACAGGGCGTCACCAGGATGGGGCTGAGGGGCCCGGGATGCCCCACGCCCCTGCCCTGACCCCCCTGCCTGGCACCTGAGGATGAGGACGACCCAGTTGTAGAGGATGGGCAGCACCATGAGGCTGATCCACCAGTAGTGCCAGTCCCCGGCGGGGTCAAGGGTCCACCTCTGAGGAATGGCAGTGCTGCTGGGGGCACAGAGGGACCTAGTGTCACCCCATCCCCATTCTGGACCCCTGGCCCTGCTGCCCTGCACCCACCCACAGCTGCCAGGGGCTCTGGGGCTCAGCCACCCCCCAGCACCTGTAGGACCTAGGGGTTCCCTGCAGTGCCCCCACCCCAGCCCCACAGTGGGCAGCCATGCCCTGCTCACCCCACAGCGTGTCCAGTGCCAGTGCCAGCCTCAGCCCTGGCCATGGGCCTGGAGGTGCCGCATGGCCGGAGCCAGGCCCAGCGGCAGGACAGGAGGGAGCTGAGGGGCTTCATCCTGCGCGACAGGGGTCCTGTGCGTCCTGGTACCCGGTGGGTCTTGTGCATCCACATGCTGGTGGGTCCTGTGCCAGGTCCTGTGCCAGGTCCTGTGCCAGGTCCTGTGCTGAGTCCTGTGCTGAGTCCTGTGCCAGGTCCTGTGCCAGGTCCTGTGCCAGGTCCTGTGCTGGGTCCTGTGCTGAGTCCTGTGCTGGGTCCTGTGCCAGGTCCTGTGCCGGGTCCTGTGCCAGGTCCTGTGCTGGGTTCTGTGCTGAGTCCTGTGCTGGGTGCTGTGCTGGGTCCTGTGCCGGGTCCTGTGCCGGGTCCTGTGCACCTCAGTGCCCAGCAGGTGCTGCCGTTGGTGCCCGGCCCTGAGCGCGGTCCCTCAAGGGGTCCCGGCCACGTGGCTCCTGCAGCGCCAGGCGCGTCCTGGCAACGTGGGGTCCCTGGGGCACCCACGGCCCCCCGGGATGCCCGGGCTGTGGCAGCCACGGTGCCAGGTGCACCGGGCAGGCCAGGGCATGGAGCTGTGGCCAGGTGTGCTGGGGCCCAGGCCAGGCCCCAGTGACAATGGCCGGTGCCAGGCAGTGCCCTCTGCAGAGCTGATGGCAGCTCCCGGTGTGTGGTGCACACGTCAGAGCTGTGCCCGGTACGGGGTTACCTGGCACGGGGGGCCCGGTACAAGGTTATCTGGCACATGGATGACCAGTTCTGGGTGTCCCGGTACAGGGGTTCCGGGTTCTGGAGTGCCCAGTTCCAAGGGGTCCCCATACCCAGTTAATCCAGTTCTCAGTGCCTGGCTCAGGGGGGTGCCTGAGTCCGGCGTGTCCGGTTCTAGGGATGCAGTGTGCTGGGGTTACCCGGTGCAGGGGCTCCTGGTACACGGTTCAGGGGTGCCCAGTTACAGGGGTTCCCAGTACACACGTACCGGGTTCCCAGCTCGGAGGGGTGCCCGGTTTTTGGGGGTGCCTCATAACAGTGGGTGCCTGTACAGGGTTACTTGGTTCCAGGGGTTCTGGTAAGGGATGCCCAGTTCTCGATGCCTGGCCCGGGGGAGTTCCCGGTTTCCGGGGATGCCCCATTCCAGGGGTGCCCGTTCGGGGTTCGCAGTTCCCCGTTCCCCCGGCAGCGCAGCCAATCAGCGCTCGGCTGGCCCGGCCCGGCCACGCCCCCTCGGTCGGGCTCGCCCCCAAGGTGTGGTGGGCGTGGCCGTGCCTGGTGGGCGGGGCCGGCGCGCGGTGCGTCGGGCGCGGCGCGAAGATGGCGGCGGGCGCGCGGGGCCCGCGGCGGGGGCGGGCGGTGAGCGGCGGCGGGACGGACCGGGGGCACCGGCGCGGCCGGGACAGCGCCAGCGGGACCCGCGTGGGGACGGCGGCAGCGGGGGGCACCGCGGGCGGGGCGGGCCCCGCAGCCGGGCCGGCCAAGCTTCGCCGCGGTCCTGGGGCGCCCGGGCCGACGCCCGCCCTTGGCCGTGCGGGACCGCCCGGGCCGGGCCGGGCCGGGCCGGACCGTGTCCGGGACGCGGGAGCCGCGGCGGGGCCGGGCCTGGGCGGGTCGCGGTGCCGCGGGGCAGGGGCCCGGTGCCGGGGGGCCCGGAGCGGCGCGGGGTCCCGGGGGGTCCCGACCCCGCGTCCGACGCCTCCTCTGCCCTCCCCAGGTGAGGCGCTGACGGGACGGGACCGCCGCGACCTTGACCCAGGTAGGCGGCCCGGCCCCGGGGCATGGGGAGGTCCCGGTCTTGCGTGACCCCAGGGTCTGGGAGACTCCAGGTCCCGGTATCACCGTGGCGCCGGGACTGGGGGTGCCCGGGTGGGCAGCACCTCCCGCGGGCTGGAGAACAGCAGCCCCGGGGTGGGACAGCCCGTAGCCGCCCGTAAGCCTTCAGCGTCATCACCGGGACCACTGGCATCCCGCGGTGACCCCCCGGGTGACCCCACACCATGCTCCCCCTCCCAGGGTGCATAGGAGGGGCCGGTGCCCACAGCTACACCCCCCGGCACTGGCTGCAACCCCCTACCCATGGTGGCCGTGCCCCTGCTGTCCCTACCCCAGATGCTCCTGCCCTGGTGACACCCAGACACCTCCCCATGCCCTGGTCACCGGCTGCTCCCCTGCTGCCAGACCCTCGCTGCAGCCCTGCCTGGTGACACTAGGGTGTCACCAGTGTGGTGACACGGCCCGTGCCATGTCCTGGCCGTGTCCCCTCACATGCAGTGGGAGCTGCGGGGTCAGGGTGTTGGGGTGTTGGTGCCAGGATGGGGCTGGTGGCAGCAGCCAGTGTCCCTGTCCCACTGGCATGGCTCTGGCTGTGTGCCAGACAGGTTCCTGTGCCAGGATGTGCCTGGTGTGCCACGTTGTGGCCTTTGGCTCTGTGTCCGTGCTGTGGCTGTGCAGGGCTGTGGTGCTGGGCCCTGGGCTGGCACTGCCCCGGCATTCGGCAGGTCTAACTTTAGCAGCCACATGAGCCCTGGTGCGTGGGTGGGACATGGGACACCGGCTGTGCCGGTATAAATAGCTGGCTCTGCCGGTGCTGTGTCCCACTGCCCTGGCTCTGGCCACTTCCCTTTCCTGCTCCTGCGGTTTGGGGTGTCTTTAATGGCGCTTTCACTTCCCTCAGCCCCGCATGGGGGCTGTGGCAGTGGCTCTTGGTGCCACTGCCCTCCCCACGTGCTGCTGGGGGACTCCTGGTGTCTCAATGTCTCCAGGCTCCCCGGGGGACACTCGGTGCCTGGTCCTGTGCCGGTGCCTGTGGTGGTGGTTCTGGGGCACAGGGCCCTATAAATATCCCTGGCAGCACCATCATGCCACACTGGCTGTGGGTGATGCTGCCCAGGAGTGGGAGCTGTCCCTCTGTCCCAGCTGTCCCGGTGGGTGCTGGGTGCTCCCCACACCCGCGCTGGGCCGGTTCCCGGTTCAAAGTCCGGCGCTGGGTGTGAGCAGAGCTGGGATCCAGAGTTTTCCGGCCACTGCTGCTCCAGTGCACTTGCCCTCCCTGCCCTGGCCCAGCTCCCGGCACTCCAGCTTGCCTGCCTTCCTCCCCTCCTCCCTCCCTCCCTCCCTGTTGCTGGGTGCAGAGCCGGGCTGGGGGTCCCTGACCTCCCCTCTCCCTGCAGCCACTGGCAGCAGCATGGAGAGAGGACCCCGCTGTCCCGCCCGCTCGCCCGTGCCCCCACGGCGGTGCCAGGCCTCAGCCGGAGCGGTCGGGGCCCCCTGGCGCTGCCCGTGACTGCCGTGCCCCGCGTGCCGATGGAGAGGATGAGCTGGCTGAGCAAGCTGACACCGCGGGCGGGTGGGCAGCGAGCCCCCCGCAGTGCCAGCCTGCAGCCCCCCGTCACTGCCGACCCCGAGACCTGCCTCATGGTCTTCAAGAACCACTGGGCACAGGTGAGTGGGGCGCAGGGGTGGCAGGGACCCCCCATCTCCCAGCCCCCGGCACCCACCGCTGTGTGCCCCCCTCCCGCAGGTGCTGCGGATCCTGGAGCGGCGCGGGAGCAAACCGGCCCCCGACGACCTCAGCGCCGTCCGCAACAACACCTACCAGATGCTGAACCTGCTGGCCGAGGACCGGCCCCGGGGGGACGGGGACAGGTCCCAGGGGGATGGGGACATGGCCTGCGGGCCCATCCTGGAGTTCGTGGCTGCCGAGAACCTGTTGGAGCAGCTCCTGTGCTGGCACCTGCAGGGAGACTTCACCGAGGAGAGGAAGGTCCATGATGAGGAGTGGAGAGGGCAGGGGGGGTCTGTGGGAGTGGGTGGCCTGCGGGGGGCTGGGACAGACTGGATTCAAGGGGTGAGGGTGGTGGGGTGAGGATCAGCCAGGCCAAGGGCTGGTTGCTGCACCTGGGGAGGTTCAGGTTGGATTTAGGTTGGGACTAGATGGGCTTTAAGATCGCTTCCAATCCACAGCATCCTATCGTTCTGTGATATTGGGGAAAATTGCTCCTGGAAAGGGCTGTTAAGCCCTGTCACGGGTGGCCTAGGGCAGGGCTGGAGTCCCCGCTCCTGGGGGGATTTCACAGCTGTCTGGCTGTGACACTTGGGGATGGGGCTCAGTGGTGGGCTGGGCAGCGCCGGGGGAGCAGATGGACCCGGGAGTCTCGGTGCCTCTCCCACCCCGTCCGTGTCCCCATTTCCAGGTGGAGCAGCTGAAGCTGTACGAGATGCTGATCAGCCAGGCCCGGCAGCCTCTGCTGCGGCACAAGGCGGTGCTGACGCCGCTGCTGCGCCTGCTCAGCGTGTGCGCCGAGCCCGCCTCGGCCCCGCTCGAGAACAGCCTGGTGCTGCTGCTCAACCAGCTCTGCGTCTCTGTGGCCCGCGAGCCGGCCATCCTGGAGCTCTTCTTCCACAGCCACACGGACCAGGGCCCCGCCAACCTCATTATCTTCTCGCTCCTCATCCCCTTCATCCACCACGAGGGCGCGCGGGGCCAGCAGGCGCGCGACGCGCTGCTGCTCATCATGGCCATGTCGGCCAGCAACCGCACCGTGGCACAGTCCATCACCGACAACTCCTACTTCTGCCCAGTACGGACTGGCCAGCGGGGCCTCCCCTGCCTGGGGCAGGGCTGGGACATGGTTGGGTTGGGCCACTGGGGCTGGAGCCATGGACAGGCCTGGAGGGAGGAGCGCTGCCCTGGATGGGGGCTTGGGGATGCGAGAGGTCTGCAGATGATGGGGGGTCTGGAGATCTTGTGGGGCTTGGAGGTGATGGAGAGTTTGGGAGTGATGGAAGGCTTTGAAATAGAGGGCTTGGGGGGGATGGGGGGCCTGGCAATGATGGGTTACTCGGAGATGGCAAGGGACCTGGGGATGATGGAGGGTCTGCAAGTGATGGGCTTGGAGGTGACAGGGGGCCTGGGGATGGAGTGCTTGGGAATGATGGAGGGGCTTGGAGATGATGGAGGGCTCAGTGTTGGGCTGAAGACAAGGGGGCCGGTCCCTTGGGCCAGA